TAGAGCTCTCCGGGGGCTGCATCCTCTAAGACCCAACTATGCATGCAGCTTGCAGCCACCGCCTCGGCATACAATGTACAGGGGGTCTTTGGGCGTGGAGGGTGCCATTGGTATGAACATCAGGTAACAGTTCATTATATTGATGCAGATGGCGATCTCAGTGTCACCAGACTTGAAGAGCTCGGGGCCAATCTCGACAATATCACAGTCATACGCCCACTAGACTGGACACAGCTCGCAGCAGCCGTGAACCTACTTCCCCTCTTAGTCAGTACCATGGTTCGCTCTTTCATGTCATGCTACTGAGCCTCAGATACACGGCGCACCAGCGGTCATTATCATAGATTCCGTCACGCATTTGCTGAGGCATTTACCCTCGATGCCTAGCATGAGTTCCACCGAGCAGCAGGAGGAGGATGAGAGAGGTGTTAAATATGCAGTGATGGGCAACATAGCTGCGACCTTGAGTACCCTCACACAATGCATCACTGTGGTAAGACTAATGCAGGTTGGTGCTGCTGACTTTCTACGACCTAGCAAGGTTACTAACCAGTTTACGACTGATATAGCTACGGGCCGTCAGAAGCCAGCTCTGGGAGATGTTTGGAGCACCATTCTTGATAAACGTATCATCTTAAATCATGTCGAGGGAGGTATCAAATCGGTGGATATGGACGACCCTGATGGTATGACCAGGTGTGTCGAGGTGTTGTTCCTGACCGCTTCCTCAGATGCCTGGCTTATCGAGATCACTCCGGACAGTCATGCGGTTCGTCTACCTGACATTTGAAGATCTGAGGAAGGGAGGGCAACTCGGATGGAGAGGACTACCCATGCCGAGTGAATGCGTGTCTTCATGCTATGCTGCAAAGAGCATGACTGGACCCATTTTCTGCGCTCAAAGGCGAATATTGTGCTATACTCGCTCAATGTGAAAGGCTGTATTATGCGGAGTAGCGGCAGATCCCCTCGCGTCCATGGATGATCAAGAAGTCGTGAGCCTCTGAGGGATATACCAGCAGATTCCTCTGCGACACCACTGCTTGATAGAACACTATGATGCTAGCAACACCCTCGGTGAGGTTGTTTGCTCATCAGTTGATTCATGTCACGTTGGGCCTCTGCCCCCCGTCAGCCCACCACCTCACCCATCCCTATACCTAGATCTCCAGAAGCCGCGCTGGAGACTCTAGTGTCCGACCTAGCCTACGAGCTCTTTCTCAGGAGTCTCGGCTGCACCAAGCTCGGGGTGACGTGAGTCTATTACAGCGTTGTCCTCTTATGATGTCATACTGACTATCAGAATCAACACAGATGGCACACTGATGATTACTGGAACCGCATCTCAGTCGGTGCCTCCAGAAAGAATGCTACGTCTTCCAGTCTTCGCCTATCTACCACGCCTATGCAATAAATTGACCCTATCAGTAGCTATGTGGAAGGGAGGACTCGATGGATACAAGATCGTCCTCAACGGTCAGCGACAATGGTTTACCAGTCATTCCTTGTCCTGTTCAGATCCTGCCCATTACAATGCTTCCGACCTGTATACAGCCGAGAGGCTAGAGACTGCCCTAGTGCCCACAGAGGCCCGCCTCGCCTGTTCTCTCAACGGAGTAGTCCTTTCCACCCCTACGTGCCTGAGAGAGTGCTGTTACGTCCAGATATACCTCGATGCCTGTGGTAGATGTAATGACAGGGTGGAGTGGGCTGTATGCCGTCTAGCTCTGGCCTGGCCAAGTGTCAGCTTCATCATCAGCAGTGGCAAGGTAACTTTTAAAGGTGGGGTCATTACTCGTCATAGCACTATCAGTGCCTCCCTTCTACCGCTGGGCATGTAGAAAAGCTCTCTATACCGTTCCTACAGTGCAGTGGGGATCGCCATCGTCTGCTGTACCGTTTCGAACAAGTCTGGAGAGCTGCTGTCGGTCAGCCACTTGGGGGTTTGGAGAACATAACTCATTGGAAGGTGGAGTCAGCAGTAGGAATCGGAACAAGTGCAGCAGTGTCTTGGACTGTAGGGCAACGACAACTCCTCACACTGCGGGGGAAGACGATCAGCAGGCGAGCTTGCTCTAGTGGAAGCAGTCTTCGGTGGGTGGTGGAAGGGCCTATACATTACGACATAGCATTCTAGTAGGTGGGGTATCTCAACCGCTCCATCACGACCAAGCTTTGCAGATGTTGTTTATCGATGGCAAGCCCATCGAGCGATGCGTCATTCATGAGTATCCTTAGCTGCTTATGGGCATCATCAGTAGTATACAGATTCCTATCATCCCTCTATCTCGAGTGCGGTAAGGCTCTACAATGCCCTCAATGTACTGAGTACCAGCCCCGAGGTGGTGGTTGCCGCCGTCAGAGACCTAACCGATATCCAATATACGTTCTTGTAAGAGTCGAAGCACGACTAACCCAATCCCATGAGCCGTCTTTATGGTAGATCCTCGAAAGCCCAGCAGGGAGACAGTGGGATCCCAGGCAACCTGGGTCCATTACGACAGGCATCCTCAGTGAGACGTACAGTTATTCTTGGCCGCTCATGGGCCCCATTCAGAGCGTGTCGGAGAGGCGTTCGAATGCGCTGTGCCAAACGACACTATCAGGACCTTGCTCAATCGTCTGGTGTTCAGTCAAGGCGTGGTAGATCACTTAGTAGGCTACTCCCCTGCCCTCATGTCCTACTCTATTGATATCTGAATTCCTGGCAGATATTCAAACTCATTGGTGGAGTTCAATCAACCCGGACGGCTGTGCGCCGGCATCCTCGGAGCTCATCATTACGAGCATCAAGAAGGTCTGTCAATCTGCCACGGTCCGGTGCCAAATGCGTCGGTACGGTACCTGCGGACTCGGTGAGACCTGGTGCTCTCTCAATGAGTAGAAATCGTCATCATCATCACGGCAAGAACCCGTCAATAGGGAACCGAGAGAAAGGCGAGACTGGGGGAGGCGGCAGCGCGGATTGCAGGAAGATCCCGACACCGGTGCGACTCCGGGCTGAAAAGCCACTTCTATCCAAGCCTCGTGTTGCTTGCTCGGTCGCTAGGACTCCGGAGGTCGAGTCCATGGAAGGAGCCACTGTAGCTACACGAAAAACGGCCTATGATGTCCCTACTACGACACATACGAAGGGGAGCAAGTCTGTTGCTGAGGAGATTATAGATGTTACGAGAGCAGTCACTGATAGCAAGCAGTGGGCTCTGGGAGAGGCCGCCATAGCTGATGGGAACAATGCTTCTACTGTGGCATCCACTATTGACCTCAAACCTAGTGGTGTGCAGAGGAGCCTGGCTCCCTCCCAACTCACTGGATACACCGAGCCCTCGCTCAGCCGAGCCTCGAGTGTAGTGTTTAATACTACAAAGCGAAGCAGAACTCCTTCCCTGTGTATATCGGGGACGGCACGCAAAATAATGAGGACCTGTGAGGGTCGTCTCAAGCAGTCGTCTGACGTTTACAAACAAAGGGCATCGATTGTCGGTGAGTCCATGGCCAAGGTTCACCTCAAGTTGGACCCGCAGCATATCACCATCAACTTCAACCGCAATATGTTCAAGAGCTTGACGGACGTCAGACAGGTCGATAGGAAGTTCATTATTGGCCGCTTCGGAGGGACATTACTAGCTATAGACCAACACGCAGCTGGCGAACGAGTTGGTCTTGAAAGGCTCATGAGCTCCGCAGGCATCCTCGAGACGCAGCCGACGACAGGTACTCTCCTCGTACTCAAACCGACGGATGCCTCTCTACTCCACGCGAGGGAGGCTGAACTGGAAGAACACGGGTGGCGGTTTGCGATCATTGGTGCTAGGGCTGTCGTAACAGGCGTACCCAAGATTAGAATAGGGACTCTAACAGCGAGTCCCTATGATCTGTTACCATGGGCAAACGAGCTTCCCTTTCCAGCCAAGCTACACTATATGTACTCCACCACAGCATGTCATCAAGCAGTGAAGTTTGGGGATTCGATGTCACCATCCGAAGTGTCGGCTCTGGTATCGAGCCTGGGGATTTGTGAACTGCCTTTCCAGTGTGCACATGGTCGTCCTACTGTCTATCCCATATGCTCTGTTCCGGACTCTAACAATCGTCCCTTTCCCGATCCCCTCCTGTCCATGCTTGTGATGGACCCACTTCTTCTGTGATGTCTCACATGGTTTGAGATGGAGTAGCGTTTTGCAAAGATATGATCAATACGACGAGCTGTCTGAATACTTTTCACCTCAAGGACACTTTACTGTCAAACGAGCGCACTTGAAAAACGCGGCTCATAGATATTCATGAAGAGACGACAAATGATTAACAATACTACAAGAAAATGATGACGAATGGGAGTATCTATTCTGGATGCGGGGGAGTGCTGCCTCGCGAGCCCGCTGAGCCCTCTGGTGTTGTCCGACGTCCTACAATGTTGGTCGGAACAGAATCTGAATGCAACAAGTATCACGAGTGGGAAGATGATCAATATCCTCACTATCCCAATGCCGAGATGCGGCTACATCATCGAATGGCATCTCGCTCAGCCGTGTCATCTGAAGGTGGTCTATAACACCACTGCTCGACCGTCTCACAGCCTTCGGTAGGCGCTGGTTTACGAATCTGTCAACATAAACTCATGCAAGTATGTACTGGCAGACCGACTCACCGCGCCACTGCACCAGCACCGCCGTATACCAACTCTTCCAGCCTTCGCTGCTTCTCTCGAGTCAACCATGCTTTCTTACGCGAAAGCCACCATAAAGAGGCCACGAGAATACATCCCCACCATAATACAAACCACACAATGCTTGACCAGTCGTTTGAATAAGTTGTCGGCTTCACCGCGCCGGGTAGTCGAGGGGCCCCTCCATTCGTATCGACTTGTGATAGTGGCCGAGGCGGCGCGGGAATCGCGAAATCGGAGACGGCTGTTGAATTGTCGGTCGAATCAGCAGCTATCTCAGCAGAAGTGCCAGGGACTTCTCCACCGAAGATTGGTAGAGCTAGCACTGCTAGCAGATGTAAAACTTGCATACGAGACGGTGAACTGCAGTTCACAGCTACATCGAAGTGAATCCCAACTTCCTGCAACGCGAGGAATGCAGGACAGTGGTGAAAAACTCAAACACGAATATCAAGTCTGAGGGTTAGAAGACCCCGAAGAGTCCTCCTCGTCCTTCTGAGGCTTTTCTTGCTCGGCAAGCGACTGAGAGAGGGCGATCGCCATCAGCGTGTCGTCATCCATGTATTCTTCCGGAGATCTTGGCTGCCTCCTTCGCCGGCGCGATGAGGCCTGAATGGGCCTAATGATAACATAGTCCTCTCAGTGGCCTACCTCCGAGCCAACACCCTTTTCTGCTAACTCCCTAGCCGCCTTCTGTTGCTCATAGAACAGCAGCAGTGCTGCCTGTTGTGCTGTATCCTTCCGTCCCTCCACCTTCACAGTTCTCCCCCCACCTCTTCGAGCTCGCTTCTTCGGCCGAGCCGTCGAATTGGAGGATGTCCCGAGCGATGACCCTGCCAGGGAGCCTTCCTGGCTACCAGCTGTCGCATCGGTTTCCAGTGCAGATTTCCCACTGATGGTCTTTCGTTTCCGATCTCCATCGCCCGACGCTTCACTGGGCGACAGGCTCGGATCACTCGAAGAACTCGTAGAGCTCGAGGGCGCCGAAGACTCCCCAGCATCTGACTTCTTATCCGACCGCCGCGCACTCTGAGCCTTTGCTTTGGCCCTCCCTCTCGCCTTTGCCTTCGGCGTGGGTCTCGCCTTCGCCTTGGCCTTAGCCTTGGCTTTAGCCCTCGCTTTCGCTTTTGCTCGTGGGTTCTTAGGCTTGGCTGATCCGGATCCTTCCGAGGCCTTGCTTCCCAGTGTCGAAGAGGATTCCACCGATGGTCGGTTCCCTTTATGTGCAGCAGGTTGCAGAGCACCTTCCTGGTGCTCTGGACTATCATCGATACTATGATGGACAGTCTGGCTCCGAAGCATGAGATTAACCTCGAGCTCGGGTTCCGTATCACCATCCTTCCAGTTCACCAAACGACCATCTTCCAACGTCTCGTGTATCCGTTTAGAATCGTCCTCGATATCAAGCACGCCCCCATTGGGAAGTAACACGCGATACACCGCCTGAGGGAATACTGCATCACTACAGTCACACAATTACTAATCCCTTACAGAGTCATCTGGCCGCGGGTTAACACTATCGGAGAATCGCCGAGTCATCTTCTTCCAGGCACATCGAGCCTTCATACGGAATACCTCCTCTCTAGGTTCCCCACTACCCTCATCCCTAACATCCTTGACAGTTACCAAGTAAGTGATTGGACCTGGAAGCTTCTCAGCCGCCTTCGGAGGCTTCGGTTGCCCTGACACCTCGTGAGCGTTGACAACCTCAGGAGGGCGCGGGACCGGCTCTGATACTTCGAGCCTAAGAGCCGGGGCACTCTCTAGTGGGGCTGCTGCTCTTGGGGGGATAACATCGGTATTTTGATTGAAGTCAACATGGCTCTGAGGTAGATCCTCGGTAGACTCCACTCTCAGGCCGGGTGATGCAGGTAGTGGGACATCAAACCCAAGAGGTTCCTCTTCCCCTTCAGGCTGACTGTACATAGATCCACGCCCTTGACCGCCTGAGGAGACCTCCAATGTATATTGCCGTGGGTCGTCCATGAGGGAATAGGGATCCTCTACGCACGGCAACCTAATCAGCATCAATGCGATGACGAGATATCGGTGCGAGCATGGTTATGCATTTCACAGTAAGAATACGACGAGTAGCTGACCCATTCCTACGTTGACAGTAGAGTCCTCGAGTCGACCCCTATAGGCTGGATCTCGGCAGTGGCATCTGGGCATACAGCCCTCTTCCACTCCTCTATTACATCTCCAACAGTACTCGAGTCGGAGCACCGGATGACTCTGTGTATACCAGTACCCTTGTCTCTCACACGGACCGTGAGAGCAACAGGCCGAGGAGGATGTATGACCGCAGTACTGCTACCATCAGTGGCAATACCAGTAAGATGGGCTCCTTCCACTAGACGGTCGTCTATAGTAATCTCACAGGGCCCTTCATAGCCTATCTGCCTCAAGAGGTCAGATCTAGTAGCACTGGGGCTTAGGTTGACTCGGGCATGTATTCCTGTGACCTCATTGATAACTCCCAACTTCATACTACTACTACTACCATCGCCCGTCTGAAGTACTTTTAAGGGAGTATAAGCATATGATCGAGCTCACCTGAGGGGCTTTCCTCGACTCGTCAGTTGGCATGGTGATGTCAACTTCGACACGACAGAAGTGACCATCTCCCAACACTACATGCTCCACTGCCGAGTCCATATCTATCTCCTCTCTAGCCGGTAATAGCAAGAACCTTATCCTAGCTTCACTGTGTACGGGGTATTTAGTAACCCTAACAAGTAGTCGTCATTCCCATCCTCCTCCTCCCCCCTCCTAGACTAGCACTACCATGCCTTCAACATCCTAGACCATTTAACAGCTCCTGGTAAAGTGACATCAATCCTATGATTCAGATCATCCCTCTGCTGTAAAACAACCGAGACGCTCATGGGCGTGGGCGGTGTGGAAGGGCACTGTAGTGCTGATGGTTTGCTACCATTGCTATTCGCTGTAGTCACCTCCTCCCCAACCCTCTCCGTATCCTGAACATCAACCTCCCAGGTGATTAGTTATCCCATCCAGTCGTATTACGGTAGTAGCTGATGCTTCCCGATCAAGCAGATAACTCTTGGGGACAGCATACACCGTCCTAGGCTCGAGTAGCTCCCCTGCCTTAGTCGTTGGAAGGAGCTCTTGTGTTCTATCAGCATCGATCAACTTCACAGTATCCGGCGCGATCTAAGAATGCCTAGTATGAAGGCCTATAATATATGCCCTATTACGACCTGTTGATGCTTGCACCATGATCTGAGTAGTTTATCCAACTTATGTCTAGGTTTCATCCTCACATTCACTTCGTTGTAGGTGCCCTCCTCTAAGCCTGGGGATAACACTCTTACTGTAAAGCTTTCCCCGTCCTCCCCTCCCATCACGTAGTAGTGCTATATAAACTAAATGCTTCTCCAGAGCATTCCCAAACTCACTCATCACCCAACTCTTATAATCAATGAAAATAATATCAAGTCTGCGGCACCAAGCTGTTTATCATCATACCAACCACAGCTGCAGCCTGACTAAAGCATCGGGAACTTATGAGACTACGCAGTATGCAGTAATACTACTGCCGGAATTCCCGGTAGTGCTAAATATCGAATATATTTATACGAGGTTAGTAACTCACTCAGAGCTATCAGGGCGGGGTTAGACTCCGGGGACTATGTAGCAGGAAAGATTGCTCCTGACAGTCGCAATCATCGAACCAGGGATGGGCCAGAGCCTCATCAACCGTCATCCTTTTATCAGGATCCACACACATAAGACCTTCCAATAGATCTAGTAGCTGTGGTGACATGAGCTGAGCCCTCTGCCAACTCGTCAGCAACTTCACCACGCCCAACTCCGCCACGTACCGGTAGCGAGCGTCGGCAACACTGGCCTGATTCCAAGGAGGCTTACCAACCATCATGATGAAAAGCATCACTCCCGCCGCAAAGAGATCCGCTGAAGCTCCTGAGTAGCGACCATGATACATCTCGGGTGCTCGATAGTATGCTTTACCAGCCCAGCCTGAGTGTAGCAGGGGAGTGTTGGGCGTCGGGCCTTCGGGATTTTCAAGCACAACCGCCTGACCGAAGTCAATGACCCTCACCGAACCATCACCATGCAACAATGTATTCTCAAGTGATATATCTCTATGAACAATGCCATTACTGTGCAGTGACTTCACCGCCCTTAATACTTGCCAGGTATGCCTCTTGGCAACGGCCTCCGAGAGTTGCTTAGCATTGACAACATGATCGAAGAGCTCCCCACCAGATGAGTACTCTGATATGAAGTAAGTGAAGTTTTCATCCTGGTATATGCCGAAAGCCTTTGAAACGAACTCGCCCGATACAATAGTAGCTAGATACCTCGACACACCCATATCGGTTATAGCATCCTCCGATATCCTTGGGTCGAACTGTATTACATTAACATTGGACATTTTCTTGACAACTACCGCTTTACCCGTGGGGATGTGCTCATACAAATACACTTTGCCATGAATAGCCGAAGCCAATTTCTGCACCTTACGGTACTCCATCTTAGGGAAGGGCTCGAAGACTGCGTAAGACTTCAACTTTCGAGGATGGCCAAGCCACTGAGGTATGCAGCAACCCTCTGTAGCAGGTGGTGTTGATGTGTTGGAGGAAGCATAGCCTCTACAATTCTTGCTACACGTCTGCTTCTGGTGTTGGTCGTGATGTTGTTGTAGGTCACCAGTCCCCGGAGAGGTACCGTGCGTCATACACTAGGTAGTAGGATGGCTGGTGTGATGGTAAGCAGTAAAAGCAGACCAGATAGGTCACAGCTCAAACCCTTGAAAACTGACAGACACCAGGTTATTATAATACATGCTTTTCACAAGCAGCACAACATTAACTTGATATTCGTGACAACAATAATTATCAAGGCAACTTACACGTTCGGTCATACCATGGTCTAAGATTACCAACAAATACCCGCCTAGAATGACAGTCACTACTGTGGTGTAGAAGGCAACTAAAACTCGACGATCGGTCTACTACCAACCCTCTACCCTTCTATTACTTCTTCCTAAACCCCACTGTATGGCATGATGATCCTCCTCTGAGGAACTGATGATGAATAGGATAACCAAAGGAGTACGGCCGATCCCGAGGCATCTCATTGAAGGTCTCCCTTGTTTGTGGTATTTGGACGCCACCTAAAGGTACTCTAACTACAACAGTTCGGAACAATCATCTCTTGACGATTCCGAGGCCCAATCGGGTTTGATCCGCATTACTCCTTAGTCCTGCCATTGGGTACAGCAACCTAGTCTCCGACACAGAACGATCCAATGCCGTTGCGCCTCTAAAGAACCTATGTCAATACAGCATTACAGACGAGGCCCACAAGGCGTGCCCAACCTATCCTCCTCACTAACCAGCCCTGCTCTTTGACCTCCTCCACACTGGAGGCTTGAGACATGCAATGATCCAGCAGAAGGCACGCGGCACAGATGCTCCCTTAATGGGGTTATCCTGAAGGTAAGCCACATTACTACAGTGCATCTACCACATTACCGTCGTTCAGGTTTGTATCGACCCGCTGGTAGTGCTGACCGCTGGTGTTCGATCCTCGACTGCAGGACCTCTCTACCAAACGGTTCGGTCAAAGTACGATGTAACCAGGCCATCTTGGCATCAGGGCGAGCAGCAGAAGATGGTCTTAATCGTGCAATATGCATGAATAACGCAGATGTTCCTCGCGCACGCCGCCGGGGTTAAATCACGAGTTGAATAACCTAAAGCTCAACTGAGCGTCGTTCAGGAGAGGTTGCCTGATGCGTTTCGGCTCTTTCAACTTCTACTGTCATCCCCGACGTATAACTTCATTAATCATGTTCATGTGGTTTGTCAGTGATTATGTATACTATCAATATGGCTTTAAAGCCGATCGATACTGTTTTACTCTATTGCCACAGACAGGGATACATCGCGTGGTAGCTTCGCTTCTGTTCACCATCTTTGCTCAAATGTTTTTCTGATGCTCCCGAGATATGCCATCTGAACACGATTATCATATAAATAGTACTTCTATGATAATAGATTTTCGTTCTGCCATGCTCGAGTGCATGGCTAATCCTAGTCCTTGCCTTGACTGTCTTCTTATTAAACCTTCCGCCGTCTCTGTCCCCATTGTCGCCGTGTTAGTCTCTCACTTGGGTACACCCTGTTACTGGCTCCCTACTCACATGTCGATCGTCTCGGTTACAGAGGTTTCGTTGCTTGGAGATAATCCTTGCAAGATCTCTGACAAGTTATCTTTCGAGATCCAGTTCGAAGCTTTGAAGGTGAGTCCTGGGTCGATCATCATCATCACCACTCACTTGCCTCTCAGAAGCTCAAGGATGATCTCGAATGGGCTATGGTATATGTAGCTGATGCGAACGACTCGAGGTGGGGGATTGGTATATCTTTCGATTCATGTATAGTCTTCATTACTCTTCAGCAAAGATCAGGAGTTGGACACCGTCGAGCTTGGCCCTGTTGAGGTTGCCACTATGAAGTTCACGTTCGAGGTTTGGTCTGCTCTCGAAATTCTCCCTCCAGCACGCTCTCTGTGTAG